AAAGAAAACAACAAATTTGTATCCCACATTCTCTTCTCAACTTCTGTTCTTACCAAACAATCAGTTAGGGACCACCTTAGATGTTCATAAGAATGACAATCCTGTCTCAGTCCACTTTAAAAAAATCACGTTTTTTTTTCTTTACGTGAGTGGTCTAACCGTTAGTCGGGTCGACTCTCATATTTTTAGAGAGAGAGAGAGAGGCTCATCAATTTTTGGAGAAATGGATGTCATGTGGTGGCTAGATTCTTCCAACTTTCTTTGACAAACCACCTGATCAGAGTGGAATGACCAGCAACTATTGGTCAAAATGGTGCAATGTGTTGGATAGGACCAGCACTTCCCCATTTCTTTCTTTGGAATAATAAAATCAGATATCAATAACTTTAAGTAAAATAAATTATTCCGGTTTTGCTATGAAGTCAACAGTTGGCTCCGTAGTAGAGCCAACCTTCTATATACAACAAGTAAACCTACCATATTCTCTGATTACTTATATTACACGAATATAATTTTATTAATATGGTAGGTTTATTTGTTATATATAGAAGATTGACTTCACTACGGAGCCAACTGTTGGCTTCATAGCAAAACCAAAACCGTAAATTATCCTATGTATACTTCATATCTATATATATATAATTGCTGGCTAATGAGCATTTAATAAAACCTATTAAATTATACCTATGTGGCAATCTAATTTTTTCCCTCCAAAAACCGTTACTTTTTATATATTTAACCTCTCATTTAATTATTAAATAATCAACACATTAATCACTTCAAAATTACAAATATCATTTTAAATTTTTCATTTACTTACAACTGATCATATAATGTATTGACTATTTAATGTGATTAGATGTTATTATTGTAGTTACATTTAAATTTACTTCTTTTGAAAAATAAAAACGTATTTGAAATTCTTAAATAAATTATAAATAATTTCACAAAAAAAAGATACATATCAAAATATATATTACATCCAATATGATAAACACAATTTTGAAAAAATAAATATTTCAGTTTAATTGTAAATTTGGCAAAAATCATTAATCATTATATGAATACAAATAACTCACAATACTTTATTTATATATATGTGCAAATGCACAGGTAGAATACTAGTTTTATAATACTAGTTTTATAATAAAGTGTGCATATAAAAGTCTTTGTAGCCACTTAACTTTGGCAATAAATGCTTACTATTGACTGATAGTTTGTTCTCATAATAATAAGTCCAAATCTTGATATTTTATATATATTCATTATTTGTTCTTTGCTTTTCTCAGCATCATTTTTAACTATGGATAACTGTAGGAAAGAACAGAACAAGAATAGAAATTCTTTCTCCTCTGAAGGTGATATGCATAAGAAATTAGTTTTTATTATTATTATTATTATTATTATTATTATTATTATTATTATTATTATTATTATTATTATTTATTTGTTGAGATTATAGAAGATTGAGTTTCCTTGTGATTATAATAAATATAATTTTCATATTTGGTTTACAGAGGTAAGCAGCATTAATTGGGAATCTATAGAGATGAGTGAGGAAGAAGAAGACATCATCAACAGAATGTACAAACTTGTTGGAGACAAGTGAGGATCGTTTTTATCGGTTTTGCTATGAAGGCAACAGTTGGCTCCATAGTGGAGTCAACCTTCTATATAAACAAGTAAATCTACCATATTCTCTGATTACTTAAATAACACTAATATAATTTTGTTAATATGGTAGGTTTATTTATTATATATAGAAGATTGGCTCCACTATGGAGCCAACCGTTGGCTTCATAGCAAAACCGTCATTCTTATATAATTGATCTAAAAAGAAAAAAAAAATAGTATTCAAATAAACTTTTTTATTTGTCAAATTTGTGTCATTAGAAGTGTGCTATATTTGAATTGAACAAAATAAAGAATAGGAAAACATTCTGCCACCATTAGTTTGATCAGGTGCTACATTTTTCTTTTCTCATTATTAATAATAATAATAATAATAATAATAATAATAATAATAATAATAATAATAATAATAATAATAATAATAATAATAATAATAATAATAAGGTTGACTAAAGAAAGACAATATATCAGGTGGGAATTGATAGCTGGAAGAATTCCTGGCAGGAAGGCAGAGGAAATTGAAAGATTTTGGTTGATGAGAAACAATGACAGTTGTGAGGACAAAAGAAAATTCACACACAAGAGGAAAAAAAATTCTTGAGCTTAATTTTTCACCTTTTGCTTGCTTTATTTGGAAGTTCCATGTTTTGTATTTTGTTTTGTGTTGTTTTTGGGAAATGTTACAGTCCTGTTACGGAATCATTCCGCCGGGATTTGTAATCGTTAGATTATCATGTAACCGTCGTGGATAGTTGATCTATCGGTTACAAATCTCGACGGAATGATTCCGTAACGGGACCTTAGAATCTCTTTTTTTTTTTATTTATGTTGTTGGTTAATGTGATGATTTTTCCCTTTTGAGATACCAATCATTAATCAAATTAAGGACTACCAAAAGCCCAAATATATATGGAATAATTACATATTGGTTAATGATTACATGTTGTTTGAGAGCAAGTTTTTTTTTTTTTTTTTTTT